CTGCCTCACTCTGCGCTGGCATCAGGATTAGGAAGTGCTTCGTTTATGCTGTGCTGACCTCTAGAGGCTTCCAATTAAAAGACATCCCCGAGGACCCACTTCACTTCGGGCCTGGCCTTGCCATCCACTTTGGGGGCTGTCTCCCTAGAAAACAAAATGCTCTTTCAACACTTGTTCCTTGGAGGCCTAATTACAGCTTCTCCAGGTTTTTAAAAGCATCATTGTTTTCCATTGGTGGTGGGTGGGGAAGATGGGTCGGAGATTCAGAAGGGGTTTGTGTCTATTATGGGTATAAAAAGGGAAATGTCAGCTGACTTGGGAGGCATTTCAAACCGCCACACGGCTAAGCCTGACAAATAGAGGAATATTTTGGTCGCCTGATTCGGCAGGACACTGGGCTAGACACCCAGCCTTGGTGCCTTCAAATGCTGGGGTGTGGGGTTTGTCTCTTCTCCTGTGTTGTGAATCCACCCATGTGCTCTCGGGAAGCCCTGGGGAGACTGTAGTACCCACTCCACCTGCCCGGCTTCACCATGGAAACAAGACTGTTTATCACATCCCTGAGCAGGGAACCCTGCCCTCAGCCTTTGTTGTCTGTTAGAAGCCTGCGATCTACTACAAAGAGGAGGGATGCATGGTGAGGCAAGGGAAACCTCTGAGCCGTGGCATTGGGGCTACCCAGCTGTGGGCCTTCACTTGGTACTGGAAGCCTCGGCTAGGTGGGGGTAAATCAGAGAAGAGCACGGCCTTGGCGGTTCAGCATCGTGGCTTCATGGGACCTGTGGCACTCCCTCCTCCTGAGCACGGCCAGGGGCCAGGTGTTCTACTGATGCTCCTCCCCCAAGGGAAATCAGAAATGAGGTCACCCGTGCTTGCTCCTACCCATGAGAACATAAAAGGATGGAGGGTAGGTGCTATGAGTAGAGCCGCACAGACTGTCAGGGACCTGCCTAGGCCAGACCTTCCTCCTGCCAAATGATTTCTGAGATTAATACTGCGAGAGGAGATGTGAGTAATGCTCTATCTGTCCCTGCATGCACAGGGGCCGAGCCTGTATGATCAAGTCATGGAAACAGGAATTTTCCCATGATAAAAATCTGTCTACATGGCCCTTCTGGAGCCAGTCTTTGACCAGGAAGGTTTAGAATGTTCACACACAACTTTCCTCTGGACTTGGACCCTATGGCCAACACCAAGGACACTCAGTAACATTACAGAACACACACAGCCACAAGCTGGGCCTGCTAAGCCATTCTCAAGGTTAGAGAGCATCATCCAGAGTGAGAAACCTGATCTTTAACCAGAGAATGAAACTTTCAGAGCCCCTATCGAAATGCCTTTGTCTAGTGAGTAACAGCCACTGGGGGCAAGGCGTTGAGAAAATGTCATCATGTTGTTACTGGATTGTCACAGGATAGAGATTTCTAATTGTACCACAAAGGATTCTTAACTAGGTGTACAAAAAGGAATTCTCACCTACAAAACTAGTGCTAGTTTAAAGGGAGATGGCAAATTGCTGGACACCATCTACAGCATCAGTTGGATGCACACTCCCAAGAACATGATTAACTTTACCAGCCTCCACATAAATTCACCTCTGATGCAACTGCTCCCCACCCCATGCCCACGGTCCAGTGTTCGGCAATGAAAATCTGTGGAAAGAGGAAAAACACAAATACCACCAGGGCTGAAAGGCTCTTTAATAGCAAGCGCATGGTAATTACATCCTTGGATGTGGTCCTTGCTCTCATGGGAGGGAGGAGGAAGCAAATGGGACAGGGTGCAGAGAGAATTTACACAGTTCTGTCTGAAGCATCTAACAAAGCACACAGTTTTTGGCAACCCATTTCACAGTCTGTCATCTACAAGAGAGCTCTCTGAAAGGAAATACAAACTCAAAAGAAAATACACACATCACACAGAAAAAAAACAAAACAGAAAGAAACAACAAAGTGCCTCGCTTTTGTTTCTTCCAATTTACTTCTCTGGAGATGGCGGAAATCTTGCTTGCTCACAAATGAGCACAGGATTATAGCTGGGTTCAGACTTGCCCAGCATTGACTATTTTATTTTAGTGCCTTTTGGAAAGCTGGCATTTCTATAGAGCATTGGTCTATGCCAGTTCAGAAGGCTCCCGCTAAAATAGAAATTCAGGGAAAAAAAAAAACAACAACAACAACAACAAAAAAAGGAAAGCCTAGGGAAAGGTGGTTGTTCATGGAAAGCATACTGCCAGCTTTCTCCCTGCTCCCGAACAACCTGAACACAGTCCTAAGAAAACCGAATGTTAATTCCTGTGTAGCTTGGTGCACACTTGAAGCTTCCTGCAACTATTCAGCCTTACAGTGTGGCAAATGGGGTTTCTAACATGAAATGCCCAAGGTCATTGTCACAGACCACAGGTTGCCAGCATCCCAGCAACTTTACACCTACTCTGTATGAAATCTAAAAGGCCTCGGCTTCTCAAGTCATACTAGTTCATTAAACCAAGGCAGCGTGATGAATGTGTACGAAAGAGGAATGTTTCTAACGCAGAAACGTTTGTTTTATGCATCTCTGGAGATGAGGCCACAAGCCAGAGCGTGGCATCTCCCTCAAGATTTGTTGTAGGGACAAGGCTCCCCCCCCCCACTTAGTCTCACTGACACCTGACACATCAGTGGAGGAGAGGGCAGGTATGGCCCACCTTCTGCCAGCTGCCAGCACAGGCCCTCTTGGGTCAGCACTCTTGAAGGCATACTTCTCTGGCTAGCAGCCGATTTTATTTCTGAGGGAAGGAATTCTGCCAGGTATGCAGGACACCTGCCGTGCCTTTGGCTAGGCAGGGGCCACTGTGAAAGCCACAAAGCCATTACCAGCATCCTCCAAGCACCCACCTTTCTAAGAGAGAGCCAAGGATACATGCTGCCCTGTTCCCCAGGAGGTGAAGTGGAGACTATGTGCTTGCTTCCAACTAGGACGGAGACCTAACTCTCTCACTGTCCCTGTTTACTTCCTTCCTCTCAACCCACAATAAATCTGGCCACCCTATATTCCTCTCACTGTAGAAAAACAGATTTGATTAAACTGTTTCCAAACTGGCGAGCTTTTTTTTTTTTTTTTTTTTTTTTAACATGCAATAACTAAACACACCGCTCTGGAATCACAACACTCGGGACACACTCTTTGTGCTCTGAGAAACCTAAACAATACTCAGAGCCATGCCTTGTGCTAGGGAACAGTTTCTGTCTGTACTGAGCATTAGCCTCACTCCCAGAGGCAGCCAGCCTGACTTAAGCACACTGCACACTTAGTTCTGGTGCCAGCGTGCAAGGACAGTCTCCTCGCGTAGCTCTGGTGCTCTGGTCAGGGAGGCACAGAACGTACCATGTGCTGCCGTGGGCCTGGGAGTCTCCAGCGGACACTGCAGTGCGGCTGAGCCCTCATGAGGCCAGGCACTGTGTGTGCTCCACCACCCTCCCTGGCTCTGTACTTCAATCCCTGAAGCCTGCTCGGCTCAGTGCCACCACCTAAAGCAACCAGGCAGATGTGAGAAACATGTCTCCACGGGTTACCTGACGCTGGGGCCAGGCCTTGTAATGTTGTCACTGGCGTCACTGACCAGCGAGCAATCGGTCCACCCCTGTATATGTTTATTCTCACTCTGTCTCTGCCCACTGCCTACCGAGTCTGTCACTTTCTCTTTCCTGAGTGATAGGGCCAGCAGAGGGCCATTGCTCCTTCTCTCCCAGCTAGTCTCCATGCCAATCTCCCCTCTTGGGTTTCCTGCCTACCACCACCAAAGCCATCCGTGTACGGGGCAGAGAGTGGCTCTGCCTGCCGCTAGCAGCACTGGTTCAGCAGAGACAAACGGGCCTCTGAGGCCTCGGCTTACCTACTTCTCAAAGCAACAGAATTTCATCAGTTGCCTGGGATCGAGCCCACCCCAGGCTCCAGGGATGTGGACACTCACTGGCCACCATAGTCTAAGGTATTCATAGCCATCTGCAAGGCCAGCATCTCAAGGATACCATCTTTGGCAAAGTTACAAGTTATTTCCTTCCCATGTCCCCCAGTGTCCTCGGCTGTTGCTCTTCTGCGCACTTCCTTCTTACAGCAGCCACATTAGGACGGTGTTTAATGCTAGAAGAGCAAATACCCCTGTTTCATAGAGAAGTCACGTGACTTGTCAATGTCCCATATAGTCCAGGGCCGAGTCAAAACTAGAAGCAAGTGTCTCTCCTAATTCCGCAAGACCTTCCTCCCACGCTATGGGGGCCTCTGGAATGCCACTGTAGGCTTGGGGGAGGAGTCACACTTATCTCACTATGGAGCCTTGGGCTGCAGCCCCAGCTGGGATGTGAGCAGCCATGGAATGGGTAGGAGTGGGCGTGTGTATACTTGTGCGCACAGGTGCACACTGGGAGGGATGAGAAGGAGGGTTTCGAGGACAGTGGATTGGCTGCTGCCTCTGGGTTTTGCTGTGGATACCAGCCACACCCAGGGATGTTCCCTCTTCCTGACCCCTGGGCAGAAGAAAGACGAGAGTTTCTGGCAGCCCGCTGTGCCGCTAAGGGGTCTGAGCTCAACTTGTACAAATAGAGGACACTAATATGATGCCACCAAGTGTCTCTGGTCCAGGTTTAAATGCACTTTTGATAGAAATTCATCTTATATTAATGTTCAAACACATGTAAATTTAGATTTGAAGCCTCTGTGTATAAAATTCCAGGTTACCTCAGAATGGAGCAAACTGCTCAGACGCCTTTGTTTCACCCACAAAAGACATTTATTTGTGCGGCCTGCCTTACTTGAAAGGAAGTTACCTACCCTGGACCATGTATCTACAAGATAGAGAGCTCAGACTCCCTGCTGTGAGTGGACATGGTGGGGCCAGGGACAGGACTGCAAAGGCTGGACCTCGCGTACAGAAGGAGCACTCAGTCTGACTCTGCTGATGGGCCACTTCTAGGGAAGCCACTTGGCCTGAAATTAACCATTAATACCTTTCTCTCAGGAAATAAGACACATAGGTACAAACGCACAGGTGGAAACAGGAATGTGACTTCACCCAGCCACTGAACTCTCCTCACACTGCCACTGGGTTAAACAGAAAATGCCCAGACATGCCTGCCGAACAACAAGCTTCTGCCGCTGCAGATTTTTTTTTTCTTCTTCTAATTTTTTCTTTTTTTAATTTAAAGTACTGGTAACATATCCAGCGTGTGCGCGTATGTGTGTGCATGTGTGTGTGAAACATCCCCAAATTGGGTGCGCAGAGGAATCGGGTGCTGCAAAGGGGCGCTTGATATCCTAAGTTCTGAGAACCCAAGACCCGGATGGGTCCCAAGATGGCATGACAGAATGTCCTAAAGATGATGGCAGTTACTTCTGGGAAGTGTCTGTGCGCCCTGATCATTAAGAGCATCCTCTTTCAACCAACCAATCCTGTAATTAAGATTCCTACTTTCATGTCACTTTAAAATTTCACTGCAAGTAGGTTCCCTGGAGTATTTAATTACAATTTTAAATAAATTAATTCAGTGGGAGCCTTTCTTGACATCTTAAAGGATAAAAGATTAGGAGAGTAAAAGATTTCATTATATTAATTTATTTTTTAATCCTGATTTATTTTCATGTTAGGTTTATCTATGGCTTCAAAGCTTAAGGGGCACTTGCTTGGATTCTGGTTGTTTTCATGATTACTAAGTTGCCATCTCCTCGTAAAGAGAAAAGGTAAAGGTTTTGTTTCATATGCAGGCTTATAAACAGCTTAAAGAAATCAATAATTTATATCTTTCACCCCCATCTGTAGTTTCCACTATTAGAATTTAAAAGTGGCTTTGGAATCAGCAAGTTTTTAAAACGATCGAACAACCACGAAACATTTACACTAACCAGCATCTGGCTGCTACATGCCCAGGGAACCAGTTCAGCTGAGGCGAGACTCTCCAAGGAGCCTAGGCCACCCTTACCCTCTGCATTCGCACTTGGGCAGTTCACGACGAGATATTAAAACTCATGCTTTCTAAGCAAAACCTTTCACTTACGGACACTTAGAAGGTACACAAAAAGTGCAGGCTGCATTTCTCCTCTGTCATGTTTTTCCTCAGCAAGGTCGCCCGTGAGGACTCAAAACACATCCTTAATACATTCAGAGTTCTCTACATTCCAGTCAGGAAACATTAATTCTCCAACATAAACTCAAGAGGGAGCAGGCAGCCACAACACGGACTCTAACTTCAAAGTGGCAAAGGCTACCAAGACATCTCCATAGAGACCCCGCCAAAGTGGGGCCGGAATTCTGGTCACTTCTAAGAGAAGCCCATCACAGATATTGTGTGGTCATTTAAAAGGTATTTCATTTTCATTTGGATGCCAGGAGCCAGACGTCCTGTTTTGAAGAGCTAATGCAAAAGGCTACCCCAGGGGCACAGGAGTAGTTTACTGCTGACTGACCCCCATCTGGGGGTGGTCTGCCTCTGGCTCCTCCTCCTCCACATCGGCACTGTATTCTTCAAAGGTGTCGTCATCTGCATCCGGAAGGCCCAGCAGCTATGGGGAAGAAATTGGACAAGAGAAGCAACAGCTGTAAGTATCACAGGTAGACCAAAGGCATCACGCATCAAGATTCATCTGCACCTCAGGGATCAAGGGGTGTGACCCAGCCAGTGCATCCCTGGACCCAACTGCCCGCCATGCTCTGTGGCTTTTTTTACAAAGGTAACACTGATTTCACTGGCTACCTTGGAGAGGCGCAGCCCACAAACTACGTGGGTGGTGGATGTGCATGCCATGCCCACGGTGTCGGTGAATCACACCATGAACAGTGCCGATGTCCCTTCAAGATGTCTGAAAATTAATCCTCTGCCTTATTTATTAACACATGCGGTTATCTAGTAAGGGTAGCACATAGCTAAAAATGCCAAGACGGCTAGGATGTGCAGTAGCAAAGGGTTAAAATGCATGGCATCCTAGTAAGACAGAATCTTACATACGCTTAAAATTGGAATTTTAAGTTATCTAATGATATAAAATGAATATACATGTAAAAACATGATAAAGTTATATTTTAATTACCATATAGATTTTCTTAAAGTTCATATGGATACACAGGAAAATGATGGCAATTAAATGTATTCAAATATTGAGTTTTACTTTTAAAACTTTACATTTATTTACCTTGTGTATTTATTTACTTTGTGTATGTACAGCATGTATATGGGCATAGAACAATGTACAGAAGATGGTTGTCTTCCTCAACCATGTGAAGCCCAGGGATTGAACTCACGTCATCAAACTTGGCAGTAAGTGCTGTAACCCACTGAGCCATCTCAACGGTCCTTTTTATTTTTGTGAAACAGTTTGTGTTTCTACAAGACTGGGATTATGGACAACTTTTTTCCATGTCATCTTTAATTTTTTACATTATTTTATGTATATGAATTTTTTGTCAGTATGTGTGTGCACTACATGTGTGCACAGTGCTGACAAAGGTCAGAAGAGGGCACTGGATCCCCTGAAGCTGGAGTTAAGGATGTTTGTGAGCCATCTGTGATCTCTGGGAGTCAAACCTGGGTCCCCTGAAGGAGCACCAAGTGCTCTAAACCATGTCCCAGCTTCATTTTCATCTATGTTCCACAAACATTCTATGATTAGTATCAGGGAAACATAACAAATTCAAGATAAATATATTTCAATTATGCATAGGTGTGCACCTCTGTGCTTTTGGTATGTGCAGGTGAGTACTGGTACCTTTGGCAATTAGAGGTGTTGAACCCGTGGAGCTAGCATTACAGTTGTAAGCTGCCCAGAGTGAGTGTTAGGGATCGAACTCAGGTCCTCTAGAAGAACAAGCACTCTTAACTGCTGAGCCATCTCTCCAGCCCCATGATAACAGTTTTTAATGACAATGGTCTTTCATTAGATACTCAATAGTACTAATGACTCATAATCAATAAGAACAAAATCTTGTGTGCTGGCAGGAAGCCATGGCCTTTGGTATTCCTGGGCTTCTGCATGTGATAACTGAGTGTAGAATGACCAAGACTTTTCACACAGAGCTCCAGACATGTCACCTTCAGGCCACTTAACGTGGCTCTACCTAAACTTTAACTTAAGGCATGCAAGGTTGCCCTGCTCATTCCTAATATGGCTTCTCTACTGCCACCCTTCCTCCACTCTCCACGTGGCTCCAGAGGGGGAACGGTAAGCCAGAAGTCTCAATTAAGACAATGTCTATACACTTAGGTTCTAGAACTGTCTGTCTCAGAGACCCAGGAAAGCATGCAGGGCCAAACCATCTGTGAGTCATTACAGGTCACAAGCTGGGATGCCCATAGCTATCCACAGATGCGCGCTGTCTCTATAAAGCTCACGGTGGCCAAGGTCTCAGATAGTGACTGCTCACATGAGGAGAAGGGCATTGAGAGCACATCTGAGCTTGTCCATCCCTGGCACACCAAGCTCATGTGTCCTTGTGAAAAGGAACACGCTGGCATTCTCAGACCTTGCCCCGGTGACCACAAATCATGGCCCACAGTCACATAGACCGCTAGGCCCACCTGACCACATGGGCCTCTACTGCAAAGGAAGAGCTGCCCACACTTGAGAATTAATGTTCTCTAGGCCCTGGTCACCTGTGGGACTAATTTCAGATCCTGTGGACAAAGGTGTGAGTTATGTGAGGCTGCCTGGCATATGGCACCCTGAACAGGCACATGCCAGGCACCTTGGGCTGGTGTCTTTCTGCTGGGAGAAGAGGTAAACATGGCCTCTAGGGTCTAGAGCATTCCAGATCCACTAGAACGCTCTTGTATATAGTGTATCCTTGCAGCGTCAGGCATCCCTGCAACTTCTAAGGGAGAGCAGCATCGGTCACACTTCCTGTGTCTCCCGAGTCAGTGAGAACACTACCTACAAAGCAGATCCTGGCTCTGTGGGCCTGAGGGAGGACCTGTCTCTGCATTTCTAACCTGCTCTGAAGGGGACCATAAGCCCCATTCCGGGCAGCAAGACTAGTTAGAGCATTTGGAGGATTTGAAGCTGTCTGTCCTAAAACTCGTGATGAGTTCAATCCAGCTCCTCTATATTAGCAGGGAGAGGTAGATGAAAGACGGTGGCAGGAGTCAAGGGGGCAAGAGTGGCAGATGCGGGGACTATCCTTCCTAAAAATGATTTTTTTTTTAAACAGGGTTTCTCTGTGTAGCCCTGGCCGCCCTAAAATTTGTTCTGTAAACCAGGCTGGCCTCAAACCCAGAGATCTGCCTGCCTCTGCCTCCTGAGGGATGGGATTAAAGGTGTGTACCACCACCACCGGGCTAAAAAGGACAAGGTTTGAATATTCCTAACATAAACAGAAAACAGGAGATATTGGAAAAGTTAAATTTCTAACATTTAATGCCATTCATACAAGTCCACACGGTCAAGAAAAAATATTCCATCCTCTCCCCCTTGGGCTTCCTGTCCCACTTAGGCAGCTTGGCACCCATGGATTTTTTTTTCATATGGTCAAGGCTTCTGACCAGATGGTAGGAGCAGAAGCTAGAATTTCACTGTTCTGGGCTGTGAAGATTTTCTTGTATGGAGTCCTCCCTGCCCCCCCCCCCCCCCCCCCCCCCCCCCCAGCCATTACATGCAACCTGAAAACACTCTGCCTGAAAACCTCAGTGTCCAGAATCAGGGGGTGGGGAGGAAGGAGGTTCTGGTAGAACTACTTCTTGGGAAAGGAAACAGTGCCACACAGCATCCTCAGAGGTTAAGACAGGGCCACTCAGAGGATGAATCCACGGGAGCCACCGGAACAAATGGCAAGCTGGGCCGGCACAGTAACATTAGCCAAAACAGCATCCAGCACTGCCGCAGGCACAGGAGCAGGAGCCAACCTCTGTGAAGAGGGAGTGAGGCACCTCTCTGAGAGAGCCGAAACCCCTCATGCTCGTGTAACTTGTGGGAGAACCTGGCACCAGACCACCTCTTCTCTCCTGCTTTGCTTGCTTGCCAGCAGTCAAGTCTGCCATTCATCATCAAGAAAGAGATGAAAACAAGAAAAATGACCGGCGCAATTGCCATTAGTAAGAACTGGTATCGCTGGTCCATTATCTCAATCATTCGATGGTCAGCAAGTCACCGAGAGTTACTTAAGTGAGGAAAATGACTGTTTTTCCTGTCCACACCTCCCAGTGATCCCTGAAGTGGTTACCAGAGCACTGGGTGGCAACAGTGAGTGGCAAAGTCATTTGCATTCATGAACCAATGAGCTCTGACATGCTCGAGGTAAGGAGGCAAGAACCAGGGCTCTCAGAGAGCCTCCTTCATGAGGTGGGAGGCTCCTCTAGAGGAGAGAAATGGGAGCCACTCTAGGTGGAAAGATGGACAGTTGCATGCAGTGACCATGTCCAGACACCAGGGCAGCTGCACTTTGGCAGCCATTCCCTGTGAATTCACAGGACACTGAATAGGAGCTGGTCCTATTTTAAAGATGGAGTCCTAGAGGCTAAGAAAACTTCAAGAAGCCACATAGCAAGAGCCAGGGCCATATATCCTACCTGGGGTATTTCTACAGACTCTGAGGCAGGCAGCCGAGGTGGGCTCTGCCTGGGTCAGCTCTCCTCCTGCCCAGTGTGTCTAGTCAAATCTCTGCAGAAAGCTGGTGCCTGGTACTTGGATCCTCACGGAGCTCCTCCCTAACTTCCAGCACTTCTAACACATGTAAACAAGATAGCTTTTTTTTTTTTTTAAGTGTGTTTTCTGATTATGTGAATATGATAGAAAACTTAGAGAACAGAAAAAGAGAAAAATAAAAACACCCACGATGTGGAAGCTCTTCAGTAAATGCCTCTGAGTGGACATCTATTTATCTTCCTTATAGCCTGTCACCAAACACCATATGCAGATTTGGTCTTCAGTAAGTTTAGTGCTTTGCAAAAACCAGTGTTGATAACCTTTTCTTGACCCCTCCAATACCTTTGAAAAGTCCATCATTCAGTCAGATATTTCAGTTAAAAATATGTTGATCTCACTTAGCAAATTTTCTTTTACTATCAAAACCCCACGATTGGCCATGTACTGCTTCTCTGGACTCTACGGACACCTGGCACCACTGTTTTGTCTGGTGTCTTCATCCTGTACACAACACTAGGGGCATCTTTGGGACATTTTATGCACAAAGGTCACCTGCAGCCAAACTGTGCTGCTTAATCTCCACAGCACAAGGTTAACTACCCTCATTAGTTTCCTCAACCTACAAATGGAGAACCTGAGAAACAGGTGAAACTGTCTAAGGCACTCAGCCAGCAGGTGCCAGAACTGGGGTTGGAACCCAAGACGCCTGTGTGAACAGGCCTTGTGGTCTGTGCTCACAAACATCCTCTCAGAAAGATTTTCCCCAAGAATCCAGAATGGAATGAGCTGACCAATGGGTGGCACGTCCAGCTCATTCTGCACAACATCATGCTGGATGCCTGGTTCAATACGGCCTCGGCCTTGACCCTGGCCTCACCCTGTTCTATGGCCAGCACTCCTCCTAATCAGCCAAGTATGCTTTTCTGTCCTTTACCCTCCGGAACAGGGCTCTGGCGATAGATGATTAGAACAGTTTATGGGAATTCTGATAAAGGAGTAGAAAAACAAAAGGAGTAGGATGTCTGGAAGAAAAAAACAGAAGAGAATAAATTGTTCTTCAAAGATCCAATCAGATTTCAGTGTGTGTGTGGACTGAGGCCTTGTGATATTGATCATTTTGGTGTAGGAAGTACAGGTCCACAGATACTTCCAGGTGGCAGGGCACTGAGGTAACACCACTTTTCAGGAACTACTGCCATGTGCCCAGCTTTTAGCAAGGTCAAGCAAACAGAGCAGCTGGACGCTACCGAGAGATAAGTCCTAATCTCTATGGCTAGAATGCACAGTGGCCAGTGACCGGCTGGCGACCTTGTGAAACAATCAGGACTGGAACGGTCACACTGGCATTTTGAAGTTCCACACCGGCAAAGCCAGCGTGCAGCTGTCTTAAGGCACAGGTGAACACATTTTTGGGGATGCCGCCATGCAGCTACTGCCATGCAGAAGAAAGCAGCACTGGTTTCCTGACTCGTGATCTTCCTGACTGGGGAAGGTTTTCTCCAACAGACACTCTCAACTAGGACCCAATCCCGCCTGGGTTTTCTGTCTAAGCCCAAAGCTCCACAATACGGTGAATGCAACAAGGGAGCTGAGAGGCACAGTTTTTTCACTGACTCCTCAGTCCCACCAGATGAAGTTCTGACGATGCCAGGCCCAAGCTTTCCCTCCAGCAGGCCCTCCGAAGCCTCAGTCTACCACTGAGAAGTTCCTTCACCACGCTGCCAAGAAAGCCAGGTTCCATCTTTTTCTCGGTTTCTTACACTCTTCTTCAACCCAGCAGCGAGGCCAGCTGGGTCTACTTTCCAGGTATCTCAGCAGCCAAGTCACTCTTTCCACTTCTGCTATTTTTGAGCTGGCCTCACATCTGCCTGGAAGATGGCACTGGTTTCTGCCATGGTCCTCCTCTTCCTGCTGAAGCCAACCTACACACTTTTAGTCTGCAAGAAGGCACCTGTCAAAATAGGTCAACATCACGGCCCTCCTATTCCGTTTCTTCAGGCTTTCTGTGGCTGGCAAAACTAAGCACTTCCACAGCCATGAGACCCTATATCCTTCTGGACTCCCGTCTCACTGTGCCTAGATCCCCAACTCCAAACCCTGCAGCTATAGGACCACAGGCAATCTCCTGTCCCTAGGCTTTCAGGCCTGCTAGTCTGTGTCTGACACGTTCCCCCTGGCCCTCCTCACGGTCATTACTGACTCCAAAATATCTTTCTCAAGACTCCCAGACAAAACCCACTGAAGTTCCATTTTTCATAATGGTAGACTGAATGATTAGGCCAACCCTTTCACAGAGAATGGCTAAGATATTTTCAAGCATTTGACACAGGAGTAGCCTCCTGAGTGCAGCATTTGGAGGCCAGAAAGGTCGGCCTGACCTGGCAGGGAAAGTGAGAAAGTATATTGTTCTTTCAGACTGGCCTAAGAATAAGGTCAAAGCCCAAGGTTCTCTAAGGAAACAGACTACAGAGGGCTCCCCACTTTGACAGGGAGCCCCCCCCCCCAAAGGCCCACATTCCTGGAACACAGATGAGCTAAAGAGATAGGATCCGAAGCCTGTTCTTATCATCATCTTCAGTGCCTGGGAAATGCAAATCAAATACTGGAAGCCACTCAGGCTGACAGGACTCTTAAGTCCTGGTAGGGCCAACAAAAGTCCTCTCTAGAATGTGTTGTCACCTTGGGCCTCCATTTATTCCTGTCCATGAACGGGCAAGCACACTAACCTGAATTTAGACAGCACCGCACACAAACTCAGCATACCAGAAGTGCAAGCCAGGAGACACAGGGATGCCAAACAGACTTCCTAACCTTGAAACATTAGAATGTCAGACAAGCTGTTATGCAACCAACCTCCGTGCACTCAGAGGACTATAAAACAAGCTTGAAATCCTTAGTAGAGAAGTATAAAACATTGCTGAAAATCATTTGAGAAATAAACAGAGATTCCACAGCATACCACTGAATGCATGAAGCATAAGCACAGTGGGCAGAGAAGCAAACTGGAGCAGGGACCTGGCAGATTCTAGACCCTGGAAGACAGAGTGAAGTAAGGAATCATCAAAGCAGGACTGAGTACTCCCTTGACATGTTCATCAGCTAGTGTGAAAGCAGACCAACTTGCCAGGCAAATATACAGTCAGAAATTCCAAGAGGGGAGGCAAGCTTTACGCAAGTGTGTTTGGGAACTGAGAGAAGAGAACTGGAGTCCAAAGCCACCCTTCTGCACAGGCACAAAAACGGACAACCTTTATCCAGCCATGCCCCTCTGAGGTAAACACCAGTATGATAAAAACAAGCAAACAAAAACACCCCAAAACAAAACATGCTTCCAGGTGGATTTGGAGTCTCCTGGGTGAGAACTTGTCTCTGTACTCCATTGTCTCACAAAGGCTCTGTTTCCTTCCACCTGTCCTTCTCAACTCAATGGAGGCTAGAAACGGCCATCCACCCTGCACCAAAGAATCATGCTGCATTCAGCACCCCCCACCCCCACCCCACAGGGTTGACAAGCAGACAGGATCTGGGTCTGCCCACTTTCCCAACCATCCCTGCCATGGAGGTGCAGTTATGGAGGGATACAGGGTGGTTTCGGAAGCCGTGCAGCACCTACAGGTCTGAAGGACTTGAAGACTTTTTCCAAGACTTCATGGAGCGTCTTCTTGCCGCAAGAAGAGATGTAATCCTGTGCCAGCTGCAAGAAGGGCAGGCAGTCCTCGCTCTCGCTCCACACGTGCTGCGGCCCGAGAGGGCAAGGAGAAAACAGAGAGCACAAGTCATTGACCCGAGAGTCTTAAAGAATCCCGCATTCAAAGTCAGCCTCCACTACAGAGTGAAATCATCCACTCATTCTTCATCAGAAAATGGGATCAGAAAATGTCAAATCCACAGAATTTGACATCTGAGTTCTATATCAGATCCACAGAGCGTCCCCAAGCTCTGTGCTCCCAGTCTCACCTGTGAGGCCCATAGGTCTCACACCTGCCCACCTTCCCCAGCAGGTGTGTGGGGTGTCTTTAAAAGAGAAGGGAGAAGCCAGAGCCTTTGCCTTTCTGATTCCATAACTTCGCCTGCAGCTACAGCTGAAGAATTAATTAACTAGTTTGTAGTCATAAACTTGGAACAAGGTGTTCCCTCTGCAGATTGGCCCTTGAATGGGGGTGTTGGTGAATGTCTTCAGAATGGAATGAACTTAGGAGAGTATGCAAAGCCCTTAGGACGGCTGGTCCTGCTCAGGGTTCTTGTGCCCTCGGCACATTAGGTGGGCGTCCTGCCCGAGCATCGCTAATCAGCTTGGCACGTGAGCAGAGCAGCGTGGGGTCCAGGTCTGTTGTTGCCAATGAGTCTGGGGAATGTTTATGTGAGGAAATCCACATTATCCTGTCTTTAAAATTAAAGCAAGTTTTCCCATAATGGTCTGAGATCTAGAATAAGCCAGAGTCACAGATTTCTGAGGTCTAGATGAGGAAGCTCTAATTCTGCAGAACCAACCCAATCAGCCAGGAACATGAAGTACCCCATTGAATATCAAGGGTCTGTCTCTAGGGTTTCAGCTGATGAGAGAGTGCTGAGGCCTGGAAAAGGGGAAGAAGTTTAATGGATGGGAGGAGTCAGGGGCTAGGCAGGAGACAAGACCTAGTCAGAGATGGGCCAAAGGGGCCTAAGAGGTCCATCCCCTGCCTGCTGCTATTCATGTACGTGAGCAGAATATCATTCTAGAAAGTCAGTTTGCCACACAATGAGCACATCTCGTCACTTTCCTTCTCACTGCAGGATGTCTAAGAAGAGCTGTGCAGACTTCCGACACAGCTGGGGTCTAAGTGAGGATAAGTAGGGGCTGACGCGTCATCTCCATACTCCAGTTGTCTGTGTCACAGATGTGAGAGCGCCTTTCCGATCCACCCAGATGCTGTAATTCCAGCAGGCTCCTCCCCCCCACCTCACTAAGCCATAGGAGAGCTTCTCAGACCCTTCCCCATCACTGACCCAGCACCGTGGAGCCCGCTGAGATCTCGCTCCTGTAACCACTCCTTCGCAGGGCAGAAGGCTAGCCATACAGAGCACTCCTCCATTCATTGTCTTCCCTATTCTCAGCCAATAGAGACGCAGCAAGAACATCAAGGCACAGTGCTTGCCTTCACACCCATGTTTGCAAAGTTCCAGACTGTTTCAAATTTGAATCCAAGGTAGAAAAGAGGTGAACACCTAGGCCCCCACTTAACTGTCTCTCTGCCTTCCCTGGGCACAGTGTGAGTAGAGAGTGAAAAGCTAAAGGCCTATCAGTTTGTGGGCAGTGCTGGCTGGCAGCCCATGCCTTGTCTGTAAGCAGTGGGCACAGGGCACCCTTTCTCCCCTTCTGCACCTGCAGAAAGAGTGTGACAAGCTGGGCTTTCTGCCTGCCACAGACAGTAGTCACAAGATGAACAAATCAGACTTTGCTCTGATTGCTCTCCTAGGCCACTTGGGTTGAAATCAATTCCTAAGCAGGTAGATCCAAAAGTAAATAAATAAAACCGTATAGACTTCTTTTTAAAACCATATAGAGTTCTTCATTTAAAGTGCATTTGGACTTTAAATTACAAAGTAAATTGAAGTGTGTCATTTAGGCAATAGCAGGATGGCAGTGTGCCCAACCCCTAGTGGTACAGTGTGCTCAATTAAGTGTTTTGTGGCTTCTTTAGCCTCAGGAATACACTCTTCTCCCACCATCTCCCAATTCCACTTCTAGAGGTAGTTATCCCTATGTGTTGGAGAAGGAAGACTCGAACCCCATGAAGGAGCCTTTTGCCTAACTAGCCTTCATCTAATGTTCTACCTGTACCCGGCGGCTCACTCTTATTGGTTTTGTGCACTTAAGAAAAAAAAAAATTAAGAAACCCGCGAAGGTGGCTAAGGGATTAAGAGCACTTGCTTCTCTTAAAGAAGAACTGGTGTGATCCCTGGCATCCACATGATAGCTCACGATTGTCTGTACCTCCAGTTCCAGGGGAGCCAGTACCTGTCACCATGGCACCAGGCGCCATGAAGTGCACATGCATACAAACATACAGGCAAAAGAGTCATACTCATAAAATAATAAATCTTAGAGAAACTGGAAAAACTTAACTTGAATCACTGTCTCCGAGGAGACATAAAGGGACACGGGGCTTGAGTCAGACAGACCCAAGGGGACACGAGAAGCGAAAAGACACCACCTACCAACTGCTAACCACCTTACAGCTATTGTCTTTAAAAATAAAAACGTATTTTATTTAAACTACTTTTTTCCAAAACTAAAAGTATCTTGCAGCGTTAGAATACAAGACAGGATGGCCTGAGAAGTAAGCCTGCAATGTTTGGTGTGGGGGTAGGGGGCAGGGGGCAGGGGGAGTGGAAGAAAGAAAAATAATAAAAGGAACATAAAGCCAGTGGTGAGAAAAGAGCAAACAGCCAGGCGAGAGGGCAGAGCCTTCAGTCAGGGTCTGAAGTTAATCTCATACAAGAACAAACGGGTGGCTGAAGCCTGAAAGCCCTCGGCCATGAGGTACAGCCACTCTAACCGCAGCTGGGAAACTACTTCAAGCACACATAACCAAACACCCACATAAGCCAGACAAAAAAAAAAAAAAAAAAAAAAAGAAAAGAAAAAGAAAAAAAGAAAAACAAACTATACCAGGAACTGGAGACACTTGCTGCAGCCACAGAACTAGCTTAGCTGGGAGTGTCAGACTGAAGAACACTAGCTGCCCCTGGGTACAGAGGGTACATTCCATGGAGCCCGGGGGAGCTATAGGCCTCCTGTGATGGCAGGAGATGTTGCAGAGGCCAGAAGTGATGCAGAGCAGGGTTCTTAGCCACCGACAATCACCTGGAGGCTTGTTACAGTGCACATTCCCAGGCCCATGTCCCAGAGTTTTTGACTGGAGGTGGGCTACGATTCTGATTTTTTTTTCACAGAGGCCTCAAGCAGTTCAAATACTGACCGCATCCATGAACCACAGTGGCCTTCCCTGCACACCCCACGAACACTATGATTATAGACCATCTGTGGCTCCTTCTGTTACATCAGGTGTGAGCTCATCCAGCGATGGCAACACAGGCTCGTCACCCATAAGGGAGGGAGTGTGCTCCGCTTTCTACACAGCAATGACAAGATCTGGTCATCAAAACGTGACATCAGATCACTAAGATGACTCAATCCCACTGAGCTCTTCTTGTCCTCCAAGGCCTGTGGCTAGACATGCTGCTGTGGGCTGGTGAGAGCACACATTACTCCTTGAACAATACAGAACAAGATCTACTCCCTTCACATTTCCACTGTACTGAACACCCTAAGTCATCTAAGACAGTTAAGGCATACGATTTCACAAGACAGCTCTGAGTAGCCTGAGATTTTAGCATCTGAAGAAGGTCTTGAAACCACTTTCCTCACGGACTATCCATCTTTTTTTTTTTTTTTAAAGATTTATTTATTTATTATTTACATAGTGTTCTGCCTGTATGTGTGCCTGCGCACCAGATCTCGTTATAAATGGTTGTGAGCCACCATGTGGTTGCGGGGAATTGAACTTAGGACCTTTGGAAGAATAGCCAGTGTTCTTAACCTCTGAGCCATCTCTCCGGCCCTAATTGTTACACCTTACTCTAAAACTGATGTCTGTCCACAGAGCAGGCAGAACACAAGAACCACGAGTCACCTTGTGGCACCCAAGGTCCTTGCACACCCAGTGGGAAGAGCAGGCCTGACCTGAGGCAGCCTGCTCACTGTGCTGAGCATTCTGACAGGGAGGAAATGGAGGCCCAAAAGGCTAAGTGACTTGCCCGTGGCTACCTGGGCAGCAGGAGGCAGAGAGTGCCCCCTGTGCATGCATGGCTTCAACAGCCCCTGTGCAAACCGCTTAAGGAAGCCTTGCCTCAGCTGTGTGAAAGTCACAGACAGCAGTTAGAAGGGGTCTGAAGATCACAGGCGTCCGCCTGCACACCGCCTATCCTTCAGCTGATCAGTAACTGTTTGTTCCCAATGATTTGGACTCATACCAGCCAACTTCACCCTCCTCAGATTGGCTGAATTTACAAGCTTTGTTCTTGCTGCAACAGCCTCTAGGAACAAGGAAATGCCACTGTGCATCTGACTCCTCGTACAGCGATTATAGTATGGATTATAGTACGATTATCGCACTCTGGATGGGGCAAGCAAAACAGGCAAAGAGATGCTTTTTCTCCTTCACGCCATCACGAAACCACAACACAGTTCCGTTTAAATACATCACAGAGACATGCTCACAAACGAGAAGTATGCAGAGATAGAAGAGCTGGTCAAAGACAATACTCCCTCATGAATATTGTTTCCTTAATACTATGACATTATTTGTTTGGATTTGGGGGAATAAAACTGCACAAAAATGTGGATCCAAACATGTTTCTGATGGAGTGTCAAAAAGGTAGAACTATAAGGTAAATAGGGCCCTCCCTGGGGAAATTAACTTCTATTCTACCGTGATGAGTGGGGCACTCTTTAATCACTGGACAAGTGAGAAGGGCAGCCAGAGCTCCCACTGGACACAAACCTTTGTATTTCTGAGTGCCAGGTGCACATGCATATGAAACCCTGCCCCCTCCCCCCTGTTCTGCTTCTCAAGTCCTGAATGGCTCCACACAATCCCCTTCTCACGCCTGACAGCCTTCAAAATCTTCTGAGTTGGTAGAAGAGAACTTCCAGTCAGTCGCTGAGTTCCTGCCCCTCTGCCTGGGTGGCATAGCCTTCCTGTCACTTGCAAAGCCACAACCCACAGCATGGTGGGCAGTTTGGAAAGCAGCTACATTGGCAGGTGGCCTGAGTGTGAACAGTCAACAAGGAACCCAGGAGCTGCCCAGTGGAATGTCGATCCAAAGGATCTTTGTTCTTGAGCCTCTGGAGCTACCATGAGCCACTTTTCAGTGAGGCAACAGATACCCGGTCTATCAGAGTCTCTTACATACTAAGCTCAGTTTCCTCATCTATAGAATGGGTACAACACCTACCTCATAGAAGCCCAATAAATAAGAAGTCATCTTTCAAGGCTGAGTGGACAGCTCAGTGGGTAAAATGCTTGCTGTGCAAGCACAAAGGCCTGAGTTCAGATCCCCAGCACCCATGTAAAAACTGATAACCCCCAGCAGTTGGGGGCAGACAGTAGAATTCAGGATCCTGGGGTCTCGCCGGCCAGCAAGGGCATTCTAGGCAGAGAACAGCAAGTGCTAAGATCCCTCGGCAGGAAGTGCCTGTGTAGTCGGAACTTAGAAGCGGCAGGAGACAGGTAAAGGCTTGAGATCCCGCTGCTCCTGCCTTCTGAGTGCTGGGATTACAACCACACGCAGCTACAGATCATATTTTAGCTACTTTAGAGAGATGCTGGTGGAGGCGGCTGTGTACGGTAAGAGATGAAACACATGAAGGTTCACCCCTAAGTGCCCTCACAGGCAGGGAGGAAATCAAGAGGGCATGGCTTTACCCACAAGGCTGGAAGAACTGGGATGATTTAGACACAGGGAGCAGGGAAGAGTGGAAGTTAGGGTTTTGGCATTAGGTCTGGAATCTATCTGAATGGAGGGAAGGTGTCGGGGCTCATCTGGAGCTACTATGTATTCAAACATTAATTGTGTGCCCCCCCCACAAGATTCTTACTGTTCTACAAGCAAATCGTCAAGTATCCAAAATGATGTTGTGTAAACTTTGTCTCCCAAATTATCCATGATTGGCTAAATAAAGTTGCCTACAGCCTGGACTGTGCATAAGAGAGGTAGGCAGAGCTAAGGTTTGCCAGCTTGTGGGTAGCAGAAGGACCACTAGGAGAGAGAAAGAAGAGGTAGAGGACATGGTGATGAACTGCCCTGGTGGAGAGGAGCAGCCCGAATGGAACACATGAAAGTATTTATGTTTTATTTTGGGGTGGGGGCTGGGAAACAGACAATATAGCTAAGAGAGTTACTGTCTGCCCAGCTCCAGTGCATTAAGGCTTATCAAAAATCTAACAGGTTTCTGTGTCTTTTTTTATGTAATAGTGGGTTAAGGAATAACTTTTGCCGTATTAGTAACCAACATTAATTAAGATTAATAGAACCCTTAATTCATTTTACAGGATGGTTTGGCTAAGAAAAACCTATGGATGGTAATTTGCCTCCAGAAACTTTGAGAAAGTTCTAGTGTGTCCAAAGAATTATCTTCTACTTTCCTTATCTCCTCCATTCACTGGTCAGCCCACACTATGCTCGTATTAAGAGCTGATCTGTGCTTACATGGCTCAATACCCTACCTGTCCCCATCGTGAAAACTGTTCTGTGCTGAGGCAGTAGTTTTGAAATAGTCTCAGGATCTTAGGCTGACTTGGAACTCACCAGGAAGGTGTAGGGATTACAGACTTGTGTCCCTCACCTCTACAGTGTTGGGGGTCCAATCCAAGATTTGGCACACACTACACAAGCACCCGGCTCCATCCTTAGGTCCAGGTAAGCTTTTTTTTTTTTTTTTTTTTTTTTTTCACAAAGACGGTGGGGTACACCAGGTGTCTGGACTTTAACTCTGCAGGACCCTTGCTGTGCCTTTGACTGCTCGGTGTACCTCAAGGACTGCCAGAGATCTGGTCTTAGTAAACTAATTTTGTGGAGCGGCAACTCAAGGGAAGACAAGCGGGCAGAACCCAAGAGCCATCGAAAGCCAGGAGCATATTTCATGCCAGATGTGCACTGGCTACACCTGTCCAGTCTCAGGGATCCGAAGCTGAACTTCCCATAGATTCGGATGGGGTGTGGTGACGGGATGGAGGGCTGTCCGCTTTGTCACCCCCCTAATGAGCCAGGGCCATCGATGCACGGCCCCACCTCCCGCAGCAGCAGCAGCAGCAGCACCGCCTGCTCCAGCCTCAGGCCAACGACCACAGGATAACCCTCCTCCCCAGCTGCCTCCATCTTACGTTTGGGGACTATTATTTATAGTGCTTACAAACAGTCCCTGGCGCGCCATCCCCGTCCTGCCTCCACGCCTCCCATCACAACCTTTTGCTCTCCACATCCCCTTCCTAAAACTGTCGGCGCCGGAATCTCTAGTGGGAGGGATCCGGGCCAAAGGTTTGACCACCATAGTTTCTGGTTCTGGTCCCTCTGGGTCGGGGTGTGTGGGTTCTTCCTCTGGAAAAGCGGAAAGGCCTCGGTGTAACCACAGTAGCCTCATGGCAGGCCAGAATCTGCACGGGCTACACAACACTTGCTCACTGAGGAGCTAAGGAAGCAGGGCACTCGGGATAGGCGTGCCCCCGTGAACAAGCGCGCGCGTGAAAGCGCGTGCATTTTTCAAGCTCCAGGGCGTCATTCCGCAAAGAGGGTCCAAAAGATCTAGCATTGCGGGTGTGGACAGAGGCTTTGTGTCCTTCCGAGGGAGTCGCAGGCTGGGGCGGGGACCCCGCCGGAAGGAGCGGCTGCAGAGTTGTATCTGAGACCCCGAGGAGGACGGACACAGCCTCTGGACCGGACCTCGGATCCTGCCGCAGGGGTTACGGGCCCCGCCCTGCGGGTGCCACACAGGGACTCCCCTGGGATGCTCTGAGCTACGCGCCGGGCACGGGATGATCCGGGAGGTCGCCACACCTCTGGGGCCCCCGGGCGCCCTGCCACCGCCACCCGCCCCATCCGACCACCCTGGAGGAGCTAGGGCGAAGCGGAGCGCGCCCTCCCTAGGTACTCACAAAACTGTCGCCACAGCCGTTGTCCGGACACAGCACGTAGAAGGAGACGCCCGGGTCGGCGTAGAAGTCCATCCTGCGCTCGGTCTCCTCGGCGGCGATGAGCTCGAAGGGTGTGCTGGAACACCACTTCTCCGCGACATCTGCCAGCTGCTGGAAGTCCATGGCGGCGCCGCCCGCGCCTCCTCCGGGGCTCGCGGCTCCCGGGTCTGTTTACAGCGCCCGCTCCGCCTCCGCCCCGCCCCCACCCCCACCGCCCGCCTTGAAAAGAAGCCCGAGCACCCCGGGGCCCCGCCAGCCCGGGGCCGCCCCGGTTCGTGACGTCACGAGCACTGACCAATCCCCGGAGCCCGACCCGGCGCGGCCCGAAGCCCAGTGACGTTCGGATGTGGGCGGGGCGCCCATCTCGGCAGGTGGCGACGGGGTGGGGCGGGGCAGGCTCCGGACCCCTGGCGTAGAGCCAGTTTGGAAGGCTCTCTCCGAAATCCGCTATAAAGGCGGGGGCGTGCCCAGACCTACAGACTGCTTGGCTCTTGCCAGGGCTCGTGGTTAGGGGTGCTCCGGGAGCCCGGGGAAACAGCCTTGCTTTCTACAGAAAACAAAATTCGGTCCTCCAAGGAACCCTGACTGTGTTTTCTAGACTGCTTTGGTAGGAGGTGTACTCTAACACGCACACCAAGCTCAGTGCTTTTTACAAATACCTTCACTGTGATTTGGCTCGAATTTATCCTGTATGACCTAAATGGACAGCTGTTGTTTTGTTTGTTGGGTTTGGGGATTTGCTTTGATGCTTGAGCCCAGGGTTGTGCTTTTCCTGTACAAGCTACCACAAAGCCACGTTCCCCAGCGGGAAAGCAAGGGACCTGCCCATTGGCCACCTGTTGAATGTTCTGGCTGTTGCGGGCGCAACAGACACACTGGATTACAGGGAGTGGCCTCGTCTGAACGCTTGGCTTCCGGAAGGGACACATTGAATAATAGCATTCACGTTAAAAGCATCCATCGGCGGTTACTTTTAAAGTGTGCCTTCTGAGCCAGGAGCCTTGCTTGCTGGGGTGGTAGGGCTCCATCTAAGTGAGCTAGCAGTCTAGCCACGGGTACCCAGCTAACGCACCTCTTATTCCAGGCAAAAGATGTCATTCCACAGTTGTTCTCTTTGGTCCTTTCTGGGGCAGGAATTCTCTTTCTCTTGGCTCCCTTTAGTCAACTAAAGCTGTATCGCTACAGTGTGTCTCTCAGACTCTGAGCAAAGCAAGAGGGTAGGGCAGTGAGCAGCCCAAAGGCATCCTGGACAACACGTCTGTTCGGATCTTTTTCTCTTTCTTAGCTGTCATTATCTGGAACTTCATTCCTGGTTTCACCTGTCTTCCTTTAAGCCACTTTTGTTCGGTGACCATTTGTATCCTTTGGGTACTGGAGGAGCATAGAACTCTACACAGAATCCTAAGTAGCCTCTAAGATTTCTGCCCCCCTGGGGTTACACATATGCCCACCAGTTATCCAGTGAGATAGGCATCTAGGTGCTGCTCTGTGCGATTTTGCAGATGCACGTAAGATAGAGAGACAGTCCTCTGTGAGCATGGTGAAGTGAGCTCTTAAGGTGTGCTGGGTACTTCCTGGGAATATCCAGTGTGCCATGGATTATCACCAGGGATGGGGGTGGGGTGGCACCTGGCTGGGAACAGGTGCCAGAACAGTCCTAGCCAACAACCAGCAAAAGGGCAGATGTCAAGGATGAGCTTCAGTAGACTTTCTCTCAAAGCTTCCAGACAAGAATTGTGCCTGGCTAATGCCACCAGCTGAGGCTTGAGGTGCCCCGAACCAAGAAGCCAGTTACGCATGACTGAACTGCACTCTCTGCTTCCAGAACTGAGGGCCGCCAGATGGGTGTTCTAAGCTGTTTAGGTTTCTCTTTTAGTAGTAGAAACAGATAGAGGGGACAGTGAAAGAGGCAGGCAAAACAATTACAAAAATTCAGTATAAAGTTATGCTGAATGTACTGTTAGAAAGTTGCAAAGTGGGCACCACAAGCTCTCTCCAGCTTTTTAAGCCTTCTAATTTAACTGCTTCTGCCACTTATATATGTGTATATCTTGGAATTCCAATAAATGAATATTTCTTTACATTTGACATGTATAAAGAACATTTTGGGGGATTTGTCTCTGTTTTTGTTTTTTAGAGAGTTAAGCCCGTGTGCTTTAAAATACATCTACCAAATTGAGTTCAAATGCTGAGTGACCATAATGACACAGTTCTATTTATTTAAAAAAAGAGCTGTGTCAGAAAGATTGAGACATACTTATGGGGAAAACAAGAATCCTAGGCATGACAATGAATTGTACAGCTGGTTTCTTCAAGGAGACATCTAGACTAGAGAGTCTGTATTGAGTCCTGCTTCTGTGCTTTAAGGTTTTCTGTGTATTCGTAACTTCCTTAATTGTCCCAAGTCTTGATTTTCTTTTTGGAAAGCAGGGACAGTAATGAGATAAAGTCTCCTTTATCTAGTCATCCGGCAATGCTACTGCTACTCAGAATAATCTGTTTCTTCTGGGTAATTTATAGGAAAACCAGCTATGATGGCCAGTGTTAATTGTCAACATGACAGAGCCTAGAATGGCTTGGGAGGTGGGTCCCTGGGTGCCCTGTTGAGGAGAATCTTGAATACATTAAATGTGTGGGCAGAGCCATCTTGACTGTGGGTGGGCCATTCCCTGAGCCCACAATCATGGCTTGTGTAAGATGGAGCCCGCAAGCTAAAGCACTATCTTCTCAGCATTTCTCTCTCTGCTTCTTGACTGCAGATGCAAAGCAACCGGCTGCTTCGAGGTCCTGCTGCCTTGACTTCCTGGATGTGACAGGCTGTACCTTGAAATGCAAGCTAGAAGAAACCCTAACTCCTTTAAGTTGCTTTTGGCAGGATATTTTATCATAGCAGCAGAAAAAGTAACCAAAACATCAGCTGATTCTTTTTTAAAAACTTTAAATTGAGGAGTGACATGAGGACAACATCATGGTGGGTGCTAGTCACAGAGGAAGTAAAATCCCATCTTATCCCCAAGTATTTAGAGCAGGGTTTAACTAAATAGTAGCACCAGCAGTATTTGAAGTATTTGAAGAAGGCATGTGGCTGTGGGTCTTGCCATGGGCACTGTAGGATGCTTAACTCTGCCACGGCTCCTACCCACTACATGTCAGTCCCATTATTGTCTCCTCTCCTTTCTGTCCATGTGACAACCAAAACTGCCTTCAAATACTGCCAAGTATCTCCTGGAGGGCAAAACTGCCCTTCCTGGAGGGGCACTGATGAAGAAAGGAAAGCCTGGGGGCAGTTCTGCTTTGGTCTCTTATCGAGTAGTCAACAGCCTGTCCACACAGCACAGTCCAAATTAGTTGTAGAAAGTTTTTCACTTGAACCTCAGTTTCCCAGATGCCTGGGAGAGTGACCTCTGCTTGCATAAGACCATCAGCCTTCACCAAGCCGCCACCTATTTGGGCTGGTCCTGAGGGGCACCTGTGGATTTAAGGGCAGGACAGAGCTTCCGCCAGGTCCTTTGTGTTGCAGTGGATGAAGGAACACACCGGCCAACAGAACCCCCTTTCATTGTTCCCGTGAGACTATTACCACGGTCTGGAAATAGAAGGAAATGAAAGTTTGGTACCACCAGTGAGCAGTCTTCATCGTACTTAGAAGAATATTTCTTTGCAGAAGCCTGGCTGTCTTTAAAAACTGCCACTTGGGCCAGGCAATGGTGGTGCACTCCCTCTCCCTTAATTTTAGCACTCAGGAGGCAGAGGCAGAAGTAGGCAGATCTCTGTGAGTTCTGGTCTACAGAGTAAGTTCCAGGACAGCCAGGACGACATAGAGCACCTCTGTCTCAAACAAAAGAAAACTTGACTTTTGAAAGCTGTACACTGGGCAAAAAGAAAAGGCGGAAGCCATCAGGCTGAAGGGTCTTAGGAGCTCAGTTTGGAGCAGCAGGCACCACTCTACACTCAGGCTAAAGCCAGCTTTCCACCCACCTGGCTCTTCAGTCAGCTGGGGTTTTTTGTTTTTTTTTTTAATCTCCTTTGAGTAAGGCTGACTTTAACACACAATTGGCCCTCCAATTCACTCCCACATGGTAAGTCCATTTATTTAGTCTACTCTTTGGAATAAAAATCTGTTTTACCCACACAGCCTCATGATTCCACAGCAGGAGGAGTTAGGAGGGGAGAATGCTGGTTCCAGGTTCACCTTTGGTTTGAGCCCAAGGCAGCCGCAACCTGTTAGGAGACAGTTGGTAGAGGCATGTGTGGTTGGTCACAGTGACCCGATATCTGAGCCATGACATATAAGAGAGCAACGCAGGGAAGACAGGGCACCCTGAAACACAGTCTGGAGGGTGCACATGATGGGGAAGGATGAGCAAAGGGGAGAGAGAGAGTGGGGACTGCCCTGAAGTTTATGTCTCCTTGAAAATAAAGTTTGAAGAAAAGTGAAATTGAGAGATGAACAAAAATTAAAATTTACATAAAAGAATCATTCGAAATTTACCCTAACTGTTTACAGAGTTCAAGGGACTGAATTCTGTCAACAATCCTACCGTTCAAGCTAGGAAAGCTCCTTCAGAATGTTGTTCCTGAGTATGTCATTGTTACTTTTAACTTTTTTTTTGTTGTTGATATTCATCCAAATGGCTTTAATATAGATCCATACCCAAAACTAGAGATTAAATCCAGATGTCTAAGCATGCCAAGCATATATATATTATATTTATATTTTATACAGTATATATTATATTTATCATATATCTTATATCACATATCATATATGTGTCTATATGTTAATGGTTATACAATTTGATTACATTTGCCTTAAAACATGTCTTAGAGACCAAATTCACTTGGAAAATATTTACTGTTTGCGTATGTCAAACAAACAGAAACATTTACTTACATAGGTTTACTTTCGTTACTGATTCAAACACTTTCAGCCTTCTATATTACTTAGTAATTCTCTCCTTTGCCCCAGGTTTCAATGGCCGTATTTTCTCATTCCCTCCTTCTATATCTTGGCATGGCCTTCCTTCCGCAGAGCACAGCAAACAGCGCTGTATCATCTGTGAAGCTGAGACTGAAAGAGTGTCAAAACTATGAGTTTTTTTTTTTTTACCATTTATTTGTTTGCTTGTTTTTCCATTTGTCTTTAGATTGTGGGGCTGACTCTTCCTCTACTTCCTGCTTTCTGAGGCTAAGAGA